GATATTGCAGGGAATATCACTATGTGATCTTTAATGCGGTGGTTTTACAATTTGCCTTCTGCATCCTTATGCCGTTCACTACTTATTGCAGTTCATCCGCCTTTTGGGTTGATTTCTCAGCCCAAGGGCAAAAGAGGGCCCTTGCACTTTCTGGCTGCTCCACCCGAAGCTGTTGGCCAGTAGGTGGGGACTGCTTATTCCGGCAGTCGTTCGGTCGTCAGAGCCCCGTTAGTTATCCTGCAGGGTGCACCGGATGATAAATATTTATCATCACTCTTGCAGGTGAGGCTGACATTTGGATAGGAGAGGCTGTTTGAGTCGCATCACCATCCCTCTACACCCCAATATGTAATTGATAGTATAAAATTTTACAAAAACAGTTTTTGAATATAATTTGATTTGTAAATGGTTAAAAAATTAGCATTAATACAAAATTAACATTTAAACAAGGCAGGATTTTGAGAACATAAGAAAAATAAGTTTAAAAAAATATATATATATTTCTACCCAGAAATCCTAATTATGCAATGTTGAAACGTGCAGAAAGTGTTACTTTAAGACAGCTACTACGGTCGCGAGTCACATCCGACATTTGCGGTACATTAGTCACGGGCTTGGGGTGGATGTTTTTAGTCATGGATGGTACTTTGAAGTTTACTAGTTCTCAAGTCACGTCACACTTCCATCAGCGAATGTGTTCGTGTTCGTTTGCAAAAAGTAATCCAAAAATTAACAGAGCGTATAAAAAATTTAGTAAACAAGTTGATGAACTTTTTCGTTTATTAAACACTCACTCCGCTCGTGCCAAAACAACTTATGATATAGTATTAGGTACATATTTATCTTACCTTATTATCGAGTAACTTTGAAAATTTTAGATAACAGAGAAATTAAATTACATGCCACAAAAGTTTCAAAGAAATATGTAATCCAATTGAAATATGTTTATATCTTCGTGCATCAAGAATGAGGATGAAACGAGGGTTTTGTACGATCTATATTCGACGCTTTTTGAGAAGGTTTAGGCAGTTTTTATAAACCCACATCTCCACGAAGGAGCAAAGAGAGATCGGAAAGTTACACATTTTTATTTTCTTTAACAAAAAGCGTCGATTCTGATAACGTAACAGAAGTTTTTTTAATACATTTTGATATGTGACCTGAACTAACCAAAATTAACCCAAAAATTAGATCCCAATTTCGGACATTATTCTATCCTGCTCAGCATGAACTGTTTAATCAATCTTCACATGAATTATTATTTTTTACTTCTCTACCTTTGTTTACAATCAAAAATCATGAATGAACACATTTGGGAATTTAGTACAATTGTATTTTGGTTTGGTAATAAATTTACATGCAGCAATAAAACTATTTCAATCAAAAGAAAGGCAAACATCATCTGCATAAGTCGAGCAATCTATTATTCAAATGTGAAATATAAATATCATAAAGAAAAGGACCGATAAATACTGAATTTCTCAAAACCAGCTAATGTGGTTTTTACTTACCTGTACTCCCAATACTTCCGAATTGCCGGAAAAGCATATATTTCCGTCCCGGTGCAAGGAATTGATAGCTGGACTAAAAGCGTAATATAAAAACACCAGGACCAACTGCAAAATATCCATTGTTTTGAAGCGAGCGAATAACCATGGAAATTTAAAGTATTCTTTATTCATTCGCGGCTTATCCTCGTTGCCAGAATATGGAAGGAAATTGATTAGCCTGCCATTGTTTAACATCGCTCGCTTCCATGTTAAATAGAAGTTGAGTTATATATGTTTGCACGAAAGCAATACGTGCTTCCGTGGCCGGCAATTTATAATCGTGCAGAATAATAGCGGCGAAGCGGGGAGTTTGAATGGTAACACTGTCTAGATTCTGTCAAGATATATCACATGATAGTACAATTTTTGGATTAACGATTTTAAAGTTTCGTTTAAATCGTTGAAGGTAAAGTCGCACTATTCTAAGGATTGTTTCAGTATTATCGATTTAAACAGATTTGAGTAAGCCGTAAATAATTGTCGCAAAGGTTGGGGTGAAAAAACTAACTAAAGCGGCCTAGAGAAAATCCTGAAAATTATTTTTAATTTTCTAGAATGGTGGCCCCGAGGCATAACCGCATCCTTGCATTTTATATCCCGTTTTTTGAGAAATGATCTTATGTTACATATTATGTATTTTAATAGTAAATTTACATATATTTTGCGATAAGAATATTTGAGTTGTTTTGTTTTTATACCATGTACTTGTTACTGTAAAAGTGGATATTGCGGCAAATGTATAGTTGTATTATATATAAATATATATAGTGGGCCGTTCATCTTGAGACACTGCCTGCTATTGGTATTGGTATTAAAGCGGGGCGCCCTCGCGGGCGTCCAAGCACTTAGGCCACCAGATGGGCCCGTTGTGCCCCCAGGCCGCTCTAGAGGGCGTCCAGAATGCCACCTCTCCTATAGAAGGTCAGCAACTCCTTTAGCTCAATACCGTGCACTGAGTCCGGATCGATCAGGACCGTTCCGAAGACTCCCAATCTTGCCCATGTCAAGGCAGGGCACTCGGTGAGCAGATGATACGGGGTCTCCTCCCCCCAAGCAAAGATGCCTCCTAAGCCTGCAATGTCCTGTGTAGGCCCCTGTTAGTGCTGTACACTCCCTTCTGGTCAGTCTAAGCAGCTCCCTGGTCCGAGGAAGGGCGGGCCCATTCATCATAAGCCTCGCCTGCCTCATTCCCGGAGCAACTCTCCAGCCCCCCGCGGTCCGGTCCCTCGCCCAGGCTTCGAGAGCTCCCCGCCTCACACACGGGGCGATCCCCAAGCGGGGCTCTGGCCCTATATGCCTATGCGAGGAGCCCTCTCTGGCTACGGCGTCCGCTGCCTCATTGCCCCGGATACCGGTGTGACCCGGGACCCAGACCAACGTGACCTTTCTCTCCTCAGTACCCCTTTGCACTCCTTTATTAACAAGGAGCGCGTACGCACTGACTTCAGTGCCATGAGTGCAGCCCTACTATCCGAGCAGAAGAAGACTCTGCTGCTTCCGTGGTTGAGCCGAAGCACCTCTCTGGCCGCAATCAATAAAGCGAAAATTTCCGCCTGAAACACAGTGCAGTACTGACCCAGAGGGACTGACAAGCTCGATCCCGTTGTCTCGCAGTACGCTCCAGTTCCGGCCAGATATCCCATTCTGGACCCGTCCGTGTACCAGGCAAGTCCATCCCGGGAGCCGACTCTGCCCTCTCTCCAATCTTCCCTTGATGGAAAGAGAAAGGTCAATTTGTCAAAGAAGGTCATCTCGGGGATCATGACGTCACTCGGCATGCCCATGACCCCGCGATCCCCGCGACAGCCCTCTAAAATGTCGTACGGACCCCGATTGAAGGTTCCCTCCCTCCAGAGCCCGCAGCTCGCCAGCCTCACAGCTGTCCTGGCCGCCTCCATCTGCACCCGATCCGTCAGAGAGGACAACCCCACCAGAGCCTCTAGGGCCCTCGGGACACTGCCTGATCTCAGAAACTATAGGGGATGGAGACAAAAATTATATATCAAATCTTCAATTTATTTGAATGTTGTATATACATGGTGTTTTATTTTTCCTGGTCATATTACTTCATTTTTGAATTCTATACAAAATTCTAGACATATTTTGTGTATAATGTGCTATACCTATGACTTTTGCAAGACTGCAAACGCCAATTTCTTTATTCAGAAGCATTTATTGTTTGACTTGATTAAGTTTTGAAATTTCGCGAAAAATAAGATTGAAAATGAAAACTACCTCTTTTTATAATCTTGTCATATTTAGCTTTAAAAATTAACACAATTTTATATAAGGTTTTATATGCCTAATATTGCCTATCACAAATAATATGCTGGTGCCGTATAAGTTAGTCAGTGAAGTTAGTCAGTGTAAGGTGGCTATGACGGTGTTTGAACTAAACAAGTGCTAGAGTGCTGCCACTATAATTCAAATTGATTAAAGAAATTAGAAAGCTAAGGGAGAGAACAAACGATTGATTAAATGTTTTGTTCAGGCAGATAGCCGCAATTGCTTCTGGTATTATACAAGTACGAAATTCCGCAGTAACAGTACTTGTTGTAAACGGTATAACAGAATTAAGAATAATGTTCTTCTTGTTGAAATAAATAAATAGCTTTACAATATGTAAAAGTTAAGTGTCATAAAAGCTGTTTTTGTTAAACTAGATTACAGAATAATTACCCACTTTTTTGTGTTTTCTACCCTAATAGCTGTTGATTCTGAACGAAAATATGCGACCAACGTTTTTTTTTCCTCTATACTTTTTTAGTAAACCACAAAAGATAATAAACTCTAAACTAAACATGCTTGCGAATAATATATTTTGTTCATAGTCTGCATAACTTCTGCTATGCCTACTGAAGTGATTATCTACCAGCAGAACAGCGGGTAACAAAACGGACAATGTTTGTTCCAGTTTTTTCGGTGTATACGTATCTTAAACGGACGCGTTCTCTCCCATTATTAGACAGTTAAACAGATCTTATACTTAGCCACTATAAAAAGCGGAAAGGAACATGTAATAAAAAGGAAGAAAGAATATCTCAAAAACAAAAATAAAAGGATACATTTCATATTTACACACACACACACACACACACACACACACACACACACACACACACACGCACACACGCACACGCACCCATACCCACACCCACACCCACACCCACACCCACACCCACACACCCACACACACACACACACACACACACACACACACACACACGATACATTTCTCAAATACAAATGATACTTTTTTATTATACTTGATCATCAGTTATCATGGTAAAATGATATCGAACCATACTTATTGCATATATATGAAACTTATAAAAAATTTCTACGTTATTTGAAAAACAATACTCTTCTGTTTGTGTTGATTGATTATTGATATTGATGTTTCATTTGACGATATAAACTTTAAAATCACTGATAATATTTCTTTTTCAGGGTCCATTTATAGCAATCAAGCAAATCCTAGATTCGTTTCGAGAGGAAACACGTTTAAAGTAGTCACCGGCGATACAGTTGTTTTGCCCTGTGAAATTCACAATTTAGGTAAGTCACTAAATCAACATTCCATTTTCCATCAAATGAGAGAGAGTCAGATGGATATAGATCAATTGAAACAATTTAACTTTAATTGTACACCGTGTACCAAATAAAACGATTCAATAAAAAAGTTTCGTACAAAAGTTTCTTGGATTCTCCTGAAGATTTAAAATATTATAATTTTGTTGATACAGGATGTCCCAAAAGTGTCCCCTCCGACATCAACTTTGTAATTTTAAATAGAACGCCCTGAATATTTCGACATTTTTGGAATCCTTGCTTAAAATAAACGTCAGTTTCTTAAGAAATTCCCACTAGAATTTTTCAACATTGAGGTTATGTGTCTTTTTTTCATATTTGCCTCATATAAAATTGTGTTGTGATATTACTGATACAGGTATTGCAACGAAAATTTAACTACAAACTAAGGGGATGATACACTACTTAATCAGTTTGACAGATGTACCTCGGCTTATACACGGTATCCCAAGTAGGAGGTGCCGTTTTGGCGAATTCTATTAACAAAATTCCAAGATTTTCAAATGGAACACACTATATTTTTATTCAGATATCAATTCGATCAATAGGGCAAGTTTGTAATTTATCTTATATTTAAATTTTACTTGCTTTTTGTGCTAATCGACGTTTAAGATAACACTCGTATAAATTCTTGTTGAATTTAAAGCTGCTCACATTAGGTCACCTGTTGGCAATATTAGGTATTTTTTAAATCGCAAAGATATGCTAGGTAAATTTAGAATCGAATTTTTGAAATCGTTCTCCATACCGGCAAAAAAATGGGTTTTCATGGGATTCAAAGGCAATTCAATCCAAATTGAAATTGCCACTTTGATTTGAATTGCTTGTATAATATGTATATATATCAAATGCAATATTTAAAGCCTGTATGTAAAAAAAGTTAAAAAAAAATATTTTGTCAATTAAAGCAGAGATTTGCCTTTCGAGTATTTTAAGGGCAACAAACAGATTAGTAGCTGTCATGCATTCTTTTTGAATATATTTGCTCTAAAATCCATAGAGACTTATTAGGTAATTAACAGTACAAACTGCGCCTCTAGTGAAAACATTGTATTTAAGCAATTACAGTTAGGCTTGATTATATTTATCACTTGAGAAGAAGCGCTTTAACTGTGCTCACTATTTTGAGCTGAATTTCACTCAATTTTACTTGTGATTGTGGCATAACATATTTATCTAAGTTTCGTATATTTATTAGCTGTCATACCACTAATTTTTGCTTGTTGACTTATGAGATAGCAGGATAGACACAACAATCTGATCCTTTTCACCAATCAATTTGTTAAATTAATAAAATATATGTTACTCGTGAATTCGGTACTTATAACGAAGCTCATACCGTACTTATAATTGTTATTTTGACGTAGTTATGTTTGTCAGCACACCCCAACAGCGTTTCGGATTTACGTGGGTAATAAAATCTACAAGTTTGTAGCAAACTTTGGCGCCCCAACCGGTTTTTAGTTCATCGATTTTGTGATACATTGTCAGTAAAAACAATGTGCCGGTATAATCGTTTATATCGAATGTTTTCTCGATATAAACGCAGTATAAATGTGAAAGCTGAAATCAATTTAACTAATGTTATTACTTTTGTACATATCAATGATAGGGTTGCTGTGTAGCTTTTATTAGATAGGTAGATAATTAGAACAATTATGATTGTCAACATTAATATGAAATTTTGTCGAGTAAATTCAATCCTTTTTTTAAATATTTAGGAGTAAATTTAGTTGTAAAAATCTTTTCAACAAAGGAAAGCAGATGATCTTAATACATACAAAAGCAGAAAGTATTAAGTGTTAATTCTGACCGACATGGACTTAATATACTTTCTGAGTTTATACATGGGAGCATTAATATGACGCCAGTGCTAATTTAATTTTTTTTTGGCTGCCATGGATTTTAATTTGTGTAGTATGGTCTCAAGGATAAACAATCGGTATCGAATGCTTTGCCAAAACTCCATTGAAACGCATTCCATTGATTCCACGCTTGAAGGATATATGAGAATATTGCTTAGGGCTATAAGGAAATCGACAATCAACGGGGTGCATTTTATACTTTTTCTACGATCATTACATTTTTACAAAACAGTACGAATACATTCACTGATTGATGTTTCATGCGACTGTCAGAAATGACAAACGCTAAAATAGCGTTTGTGACTAAAATTTTCCCAAAATTTCCCGTCGCTTCCAAACTCGTGACTAAAGTGCCGAAATTGTGCGGTATGGTGGGTAAAGAAGCTGATATCTTAAAGTGACACTTTCCTCACTCTTGATCGACTCATAATTCGGTATTTAAGAGTAGGGAATAGAAAAAAATATTCAGTTTAATAAAATTTGGCTTCAGTAACGAATTTGGGAAATTAAACGTTTGTGGTTTAGTTGTAGTTCATTACGTTTGCATTACAATCACATATTGTCTCTTCTTTTTATAAGAAATAGTTTAGCAAAAATAACCGAAATGAAGAACAAAATACAAACATTTGCGAATTGGCGTATATCAAAAAAAACGCGACGTAGACTCTTTAGATGGCCTAAAGTTTTGGGGGTTTACCTTAAGTGTGTTTTTTCATATTACGCCTCTTATCAAACTTTATTCAGGATATTTTCATAGATACGACGACATTATAAGCTACGCTGTATTTAACCCGCGCGAAGTAATTTAATAAACCCCAAGGGACCGGGAATGTGTTGAAATAAAGCCGAACCCTGGGTGCGATTTACATAAAACATTCCTTTTCAATTTCATCTGGCCTTTCTCGAGTTACAAATTTATGAGAGCGGTCATATTTGACCATACTTATGAAAATGAAACCGGTCTTTCGCAATCATCTGCGGACCCCTTTTATAGCTCTAGGGTCTTTTTATATGGAGCAATGGAAAAGATTAAATTTGGCCCCGATAGTTGTTAAATGATGAACACTCGTTGGGATATAAGGCCACTATATTCCACGGAGAATTGTCTGGAAATTTTAAGCCCACAGAAGGGTCGTCTTTAGATGGCGGAGTATAGTTTCACTCAGATTACACCATTGAGACTTGAGCTGCCATAAAACCCTAATTATCCCTTTGCCCATAAATTGCTTTAAATCATTTCCTTTTTTAGAAAGTTAAGTGCAGGTTGTTCTTCCAACATTTGATAAACTTTCCTTCTCAATGGATCTTGATTTTTATGGAACTGCTTTGTTTTAGTATGATTAGGTGGGAGAGAGAGATTGTAGATTTAAATCACATTAATCAAATCTTTATATTCGATCAATATCAAGAATTTTTAAACCAAATGTAATAAACACTTAATTGTACAAGGTAATATTTTTCGTCCTTTTATTTAAGTGGAAAATTCTGAAATCATCAAGGTCTGTTGTAAGGGGTATTTTTTTTCGATGTATAGAACTTTAAGTTGCAATAAAATAACGATTGACATGAATTTTATTTATCCAAAAGATAATCCTGTGGCATTACATTTTAAATATGATTTCTGGCATATGACCGCCACGGCTGGCGCGGATGTAGTCCAACCTGAACGTTCAATTTTCGATGACTTTTTCCAACATTTGTGGCCGTATATCGGCAATAACACGGCGAATGTTGTCTTCCAAATGGTCACCGCATAAGACCGATGACTTTACATAGCCCCACAGAAAGTAGTCTAGCAGGGTTAAATCACAAGATCTTGGACGCCAATTCACAGGTAGAAAACGTCAAATTAGGCGGTCACCAAACGTGTCTTTCAATAAATCGATTGTGGCACGAGCTGTGTGACATGTTGCGTGGTCTTGTTGAAATCACATCTCCTGGACATCATGGTTATTCAATTCAGGAATGAAAGAGTTAGTAATAACAGCTCTATACCGATCATCATTGACTGTAACGTTCTGGCCATCATAGTTTTTGAAGAAGTACGGACCAATGATTCCAACAGCCCATAAAGCGCACCAAACAGTCAGTTTTTCTGGATGTAACGGTGTTTCGACATACACTTGAGGATTAGCTTCGCTCCAAATGTGGCAGTTTTGTTTGTTGACGTAGCCATTAAACCAGAAGTGCGCTTCATGGCTAAACAAAATTTGCTTATGAAAATCGGGAACAACAGTTGGGTCCATTCGACGAATCTACGCCTTGAGAATAAATCACTTCACAGCTGTTAAATCGGTCGCCATCTTGAACAGTAATTCCAGCTTAAAGTTCTATACATCGAAAAAAACACCCATTACTTGGTTGTTTTTTTTTAAACCTACAAGCAATTTTAAGAAAAAAAAACCAATTGGCAAGGCAGAAATAAAACTGTTTGTGTAAATTTTTATCTAAAATTGTATCAGAAACATCATTTTACTTTAAAAGCCAATGAATGATGAAGTGAACCAAAACATTTCTTGGTATTGGTAATTATAGAACTACAACACTTATTGACATACAAAATAGAAGGAATAATGTGGTACAGCTCTATAATTGTTTTATTTTGATCTAAATAAAAGCATTTTGTTAATAGTGTAAAACAGAAGCTCGTTCCAATATCTATAATAGATGTTAATGGCAACGAGATCCTAATTTCAAATCAAACAAAACTTTGGCAATTTCGAAGTAAAATTTTGCGGCTTGATAATTACTACTACTGTTAGTGATATATGCTACATTTGTTTGAGTTTTGACACTTAATAAGTTTTATAAAGACCCAGTTATGAAGTTTGTCCAAAAATATCAAAAAACAATCTTTATTGCTTTGATTGCCTGATTGAGTTTCTTCAGCATAAATATAACATTTTGAAGCGGCAATGATTTGCAATCTTTTTAAACGAAAATATAAATTTTCTAGACTGTGTTGAAAATTGAAGTTTTAATGGGAATCTTTGCAAATTTGATATTAAAACTGGATATCAATGACAAAATATTAAAAACGGTGTCATTTGGACGTTTATTAAATTATTTAGCGATGTGACTCAAAACAAATTAATCTCACAC